TTATCTTCTTTTTCCAGAAAATTCCGAAAAAAATCCGGATTTCCGAAAATTCCGAATATATCGGAATCGGAACTCGTTTTTAAATTCCGAATATTTCGGAATCGAAATCGGAATTGAGATTTCAGTTCCGAAAAAAATCGGAAATTTTCCAAACAGCCTATTTCCGATCCAATCCGTCCGATTTCCACCCTTAGCTCTTGGTAGTGGTAAGTACTTACTTTCAATCGTAGATGATTACTCAAGAAGGCTATGGATTTTTTTCTGAAATCTAAGGATGAAGCATTTCAGAAGTTCGGGGATTGGCTAGTGGAAGTGGAGAATCTATCAGGAATCAAATTGAAGCATTTGAGGACAAATAATGGTTTGGAATTTGTTTCTAGTCAATTCAATGATTTTGCAAAGCTACGGGCGTTACAAGGCACTGCACAGTTGCACATACTCAATAAAATGGAGTGGCTGAGAGAATGTATAGAACCATTTTGGAGAGAGTTAGGTGCATGCTCATTGGTGCTGGTTTGCCAAAGAAGTTTTGGAGAGAAGCTGTTGCAACAGCTGCATATCTCATCAACAAAAGTCCCTCTACAGATATTGAGTTCAAAACTTCTTATGAGAAAGGTTATTTTAAGTCTTCTAATTTCAGTAATTTGAAGGTCTTTGGTTGTTTAGCTTATGCACATGTTAAAAGAGATAAGCAAGAACCTAGAGCCCTCAAATGTGCCTTTATTGGTTATTAATTAGAGTTATGGGGTTTAAATTATGGTGTCTGAAACCTGGTCAAGGGAATTGTATTATGAGTATGGATGTAGTCTATCAGTCCACTCAAGGAACTTCAAGTGATGGTGCTCGGACTGAGGTGGAGTTTCCAAAACAGACCACTGTTGAGCAGACTGTTGTAACAAATGCTCAGGAAGAATCTGACAGTGACAGTTCTGAATCAGAGGATGATCTGAGCGATTATCATTTGGCCAGAGATAGAACCGGGAGGCAAATTAAACCACCTACAAGGTTTGGACAATCTGATATGATTTCCTTTGCACTCAATATTGCTTCTTAGATTGAAGAAGGTGAGTCAGCCACTTACCAAGAAGCAATTAAGGGGAAGGAAAGGCATAAATGGATTGAAGCTATGAGGGAAGAGATAGGTTAATTGAAGAAGAATGGAACTTGGGTTTTGGTTAAAAGGCCAAGTCGGTAGATTTCAATGAGTTGCGGGTGGATCTTTAAGAAGAAAGAGGGAATTCCTAGTGTGGACAAGCCTGGGTACAAGGCTACATTGGTTGATAGGGGATTCTCATAGGTGAAAGGGATAGATTTCAATGAAATCTTTTCACCAGTGGTAAAGCATTGCTAAATAAGAATTGTATAGGCAATAGTAGCTAAGTTTGATCTTGAATTGGAACAGATGGATGTAAAAACAGCTTCCTTACATTGTGATTTGGAAGATAAGATTCATATGGATCAGCTAGAGAGATTCATTGAAGAATCTAATCAATATAAGGTGTGTTTATTGAGGAAAGCATTGTATGGACTCAAACAAAGTTCAAGGCAGTGGTATAGAAGATTTGATGACTTTGTTTTGCCAATTGGTTTCAACAGATGCTGCTTTGACTCTTTTGTATGTGAGAAAAGTTGAAGGAAGAGTGAGAGCTTACTTGTTGTTGTATGTTGATGACATGCTCATTGAAGAGCAAGTCCAAGGAAGAGATAAAGGATGTCAAAGAGAAGCTTAAATCTAAGTTTGAGATAAAAAACTTGGGATCTGGAAAGATGATCTTGGGAATGCATATTGTGAGAAACAGAAGAAGTGGCTTCTTTTTTCTATCCCAACAGTCTTATGTTGAGAATATCTTGTTGAGATACAACATTCATCAATCCAAGGAAGTATCTACTCCTATGGGGCAGCATATCAAACTCTTAAAGTCCCAAGCACCTGAAACTGATGAAGAGAAGAGGTACATGTCACAGGTGCCTTATGCTAATGAAGTTGGGAGCTTGATGTATTCTATGGTGTGTAATAGGCTAAATTTGACATATGCTACAAGTGTGATCAGCAAGTCTATGGTTGATCCAAGGCAAACACATTGGGAAGCACTCAAGTGGACTTCAAGGTACTTGAAAGAATCTGCTGAGATTGGACTTTTATTCAAGATGAATGATGGAATAGAAGGTATTTTTGTGAAGGGATTTGTGGATTCAGATTATGTTGGTAGTGTTGATACAAGGAATTCATTAACTGGCATTGCCTTTACTCTATTTGGGACTGCTGTGAGTTATAAGTCAAACCTCCAATCAGTTGTAGCTTTGACTACAACAGAAGTTGAATACATGGCAGTGAGTGAGGCCATTAAGTAAGCTATGTGGATGATTGGAATGGTGCATGAGTTAGGGATTAAGCAGAAGAATGTGAGTGTTTACTGTGACAACCAAAGTACAATTCACTTGACCAAACATCAAGTGTTTGATGAAAGGTCCACACACATTGATGTGAGGTTGCATTTTGTGAGAGACATATAAGGGGTAGATTAAGGTGGAGAAGGTGCATACAAATTATAATGTTGTTGATATGCTAACAAAGTATTTACATGTTTCAAAGTTCAAGCATTGTATGGATTTGGAGAGCTGTTTTAAACAGTGCTAGCTTGGTAAGAACCTAGGATCCCGAGAGAAGAGGAGCCTATGTGGAGTAGGAGTCAAGGTAGAGAATTTTTATTCTATGACTCATATCCACATGTACAAGCCATGTGGATTATTATTTCCACATCATGACCTAGGAGACAAGAAAGGTGAGTTGGAAAGTGCATGAAAGTTGTTACATTAGAAGACAAGATGGTGAGGCCCACCTCTTGTGATGATGACACTTGTGCTACTCACGTTGGAAGCTTGGGGACCAAGTCTTGCTTTTAGCTAGGATTAGCTATGTATATAAGCAAGATTAGCTCGTTGCTTGAAGGCTAAGGAATCAAGGGAACTTCTCTAAGGTTGAATCTAAGAATTGGGGTGGGAAATAAGAGATATGGTGAGGTATACACTGTGAGAGTTGTAACAGTTAGGTAATTAATTGTGGTGAGCTTGAGTGTTGGATCATTGATCTTGTAATTGTAACCCCTTGACTCCAATAAAAAATTTCTCTCTCTGCAAGTGGATGTAGGTCTGAGGTAATACAAATCGAACCACTATAAATCGATGTCTCATTTCCTATTTTATTGCTTTCATTTTTATATGTGCAAACTTTATGTGTTTTCTACAACTATTGGATGAGCTGTTGAAACAGTTCATAGAGTCTGAAGTTTCTGGTTTATTTCTTGCTTGGTTTGATTGTTTTGTGGCTTAAATTTACAACAACATAGAATTAAATTATGATTGCTAGAACCAAAAATCTTCCACAATACACCACAATTCGAATTCAAGCTACAATTGCAAGTTTAAATAGGAAAAGAGAAAAAATACAAATTTAATTAAAACAATTTAAAAACAAAATTAACAACTGAAAAAAAAGATTATTTTTGAACAATTTTGAGAAGTTACCTACAAGTAAATAAATTTAACACTTTTAAGGAGGGAAAGTAGACATGAGGAAAGAGGGAAAAAAAAAAAAAAAAAAAAAGGACTTAAGGAGTTTTGTTGTGTGTGAGATTATGAGAAGAACAAGTTGCACACCCTCACACCTCTTTTGATTTCCAACCGTAGTTTCGCGAATAAAATATAAATGAAAATTTACGATTGCTCATGGGAAACGTTAGCGTCCTTTTATGACGTGCATGTAGTAAATGCATCTTATATAATCATGAAATAAACTCCTCAATCACCCTATTTTTTGAAAAAGTTGGTCAATAAAGACTAGGAAAAAACATTACCTTATAAAAACTACATTCGCAATAATAATACTATATGTATACCTGGTATAAGTGATCTTTTAGTCTAAATATACCCGAATCTATAAAAGAAAATAAAATTATAACCTAGGGCGTATTATACCTAAACTTGTTAAATTGTTGCATCGGCTGCCAATTTAGTCCATTTTTAGCAAAAAAATGTCCGGAATTCACATCACGGTGCCATCCACATGATTTGAGTTGGGATATTTGTGTCATTTCCTTTTGCCCTTTCTCCTTGTCTTTTTATTTTCCTTTTCTTTTTATTTTACATCTGACCACCATTTCTCTCTCCTTTCTCGATAATCTCTGATTACCCATTACATGATGATTCTACCCATAATTGGCAATACGGCCACGGGTCCTCAGAATTAACGGATCATGACTCAAATCCGAATCCGAAAATTGCATCTCGGACTAAATCGAAGAGTACTATGCCCACATAAAGGTTTGAAACGAATCCATTCAATTCGAAGAACAAGAAGATGGGAAACAATCGCGTGGCCCAATCCATTAATGGCGGAAGTGTAACATTTCGGGGAATTCAGCATTATCAGAACTGGGATGTGAACTTGAAACACTTTGCTAATCACCGAATCATTCTACCAAAAAAATTACTTTGATCAATCATCAATTAATTGAAATGTAATTGAATTGAGGATATAGAAAAGGAGAACATATAGCTTAGGTGGTTTATGGTGGGCGGTGAAGTAGAGAGGCAACACACAGGAAGGCTGAAGATGGTGAAGGGTATCTAGGTTGGCGGTGACGGATAGATGAACTTTTTTCTCTTTATTTGTATGTTTATTAATATTAAATAAATAAATAAAATAGGAAGAAAAGGGGTTTAGTAGGGAAATGAAGTGCAACTTTTTTCCGGTCAGGAGTTAACGCGCAAAAAGGTCCAAAGTTTAGGGGATTTTTTGTAGTTAACCCTAAAATATCCAACATGACACAACTGTTTGATTGCAGCCATTGCTCTCACTGGGTTGTCTACTGTTTTATCCAAAAGAACGAACCCTTTTAGTTTAGGGCGAAGCCTTGTCATTAGTGACATGTCATGATTCTAACCACTTAGTGCCAAATATCGCAAACACGGACACGAAAGAGATACAAACATCACAAAGGAAAAAGTTTTAAAAGAGTTATTATTTCAATGCTCTCGAGGGCTAAATTGTAGCAAGGCACAATGCATGTAGTCTTTTCCAAATATATTAACCATGTAACAATGTAAACCAACTGAGTACATAATTTGATTGCTCAAAATGCAGCGTCTGTGGAGACGCAATAAGTAGAGAACAGAGCTAGCTAAAGTCGACATGGTCTTTTCACCTATTCGTTTTTTTAACTGCATAAACAACTACGACTTGGCCTAGATAATTTAAAGAAAAAAATAATTATAAGTATTGGAGGAGGTTTACTAGATAAGGGTAAGCTGGAGCTTGGGCCTATTTGGCTGTGGCTCAACCACCTCCATGTGGATCCTGACCGTCTGAAGAACGCCGTAAGAATCCTGACCGTCAATCTTTTTAATCTTTTGCTGCTGCTCATCAACTATCCATTTTCCTCCTTCCTTCTGTCCTCTCGCCATCAAGTGTACTGGTCCTTCTATTCCATATCTGAACCACCACTCAAAAGTCAGTTTCTGATATAAAATATGCCCCAAAGGAATATTTTCTCGGAGAAAACATCCTCTATATGATTATCCGGAAATAAACATGAACTGTAACACACATCAATACATAATAATCTTACTTTGGCACAAAAACAATGAACCCATTCGATCTTATTTTCAGTATTCTCGCCTCAGTGTCAGTGGGCCTGCATAAGTGTTATTAGCATACACACATGAGAGAAAGAGAGAGCGATAGATACAAGAGAGTGGTAAAATTACTGAAGTCTTCACTTTTTACCTATTCCTGAAATAAATGAGTGTATGGAGCTCAACTGAGGCCCGGCTAGCCATCTGGGCATTCTTGTGCCGATAATTCAGATCTGTAGGAACAACATATACGATCAGACTAAACTAGTAGCATATGCATACATCGACGGACTTCTGTCCAATTGAACGAATAGCTCATAATATTCAAATAACCCAAGTAAGACCACACTGCAGTTTATCAAAGCACTGACTAATACTAGAACGATTTTTTGTTAACAGTAAAATATACAGCGCACCAGAATAAATACTTAATAAAAACAAACTGATGTTAATGAGAAAAGCCTTACTGTCAGCAATACTAGTAAGCCGAGGTCTTTCTTGGAATATATCCGGGAGCCTGCATATCCCCAAGGATGCAGCTAGCAGACGGTGAACAATGACATCTACAATAAGGTTGAGTTCAAATATCATAACAGTTACATCGAAGCACAAATTGATCAATAAATGTTTTTCTTTTTTTAAAAAGAACAAATTTTTTTTAATATACCTGCATATCTTCTTATAGGAGAAGTGAAATGTGTATACACAGGAGCGGCAAGACCATAATGACAAAACTCTGGAGGGCTCAGATCTCCACTGCAGAAGTACACTGCCTGAAAATGTGCGAGACAGATTAGGATTCAGAAATTTTTGTTCACCTTAATAATGAAAAATTGCATACACGATCAAGTTGATTTGTGTACCTGTGTCATGCACCTTGTTGCCAGAATGCGAATCAGCTTATTGAAGTATGGGTCTTCGCCCTGATGTTGTTAGAGTGGAAATGACGGGAGAACCCAGTCAGAAAGACAGTGATACTAAAGCAATGCCATGTACATAAATACCACAGACAAGTATTCCTGCTGTAAACTAACCAGACAACATCAAATAACAATTCACAATACATTTAGACTTCATGAAAAAGCTCTGAAGTTATTCTATTAAAAAATTCCATACACAACAATTACTTCCATCAGCCAGAAATGAAGGCCCCCGGAGAGTAAAGCAACAATGTGATAATTCTTGTTTTACTATTGAAGACAACCTCCTATAACTCTAGTCTAACTTAAGTTTAAAGACTCAAAGTTCTGCACACAAAATGCTCCAAAATATGAAAATGTTTATAACATTAAAAAATACTCCGGTTTATAACATAAAAAACAGTTTATAACATTGAATCCAAGAATACTACGGTTTAGTATTTTTTTGCACAGAAAATCTATGAACAAGTGCGCAATGACTTCATATACAGTCAAATATAAAGAGAAGTTAACTCACCACAGCACGATCAAGTGAGTCAGCCAGTGCTTTAGAAGATGTCACATCCAAACAGAGACCAACGGCAGCAGCTGTTTGAATTAAAGGTTCAAGCATCTCTTTAGTTGGGCTTGGATGCCGTCTGCATATTATATAAATCATCATGATATAAATAGTTCAAAGAAGAGTTTAAGTAGAGAATTATGAGATTTTGCACTAAGCATTGTGTTCTCTATAAAAGTAGGATAAGCCAGATTAACAATTCATAATTTTCTTAAAGTCTCAACTCTTCAGGTCTTCCATATCCTGCAGTCTACTCCACTAACAATATTAAGAGAGTAGCACCTTGAGTGGATAGTCGCAGTCAATAGATTTAACTTAAACGTAGATATCTTGATTGCTAAGTACACAACCAGAATCTCCTTTTAAAGAGTTAAAGAAAAACTGGTGATTCCAGAGAGCAGATCAACCGATATAGTAAGTGAAAGAGAGGAGTAGGGTACCTTAACAGAGAAGTCGGAGGAAAATGTTCCAGAATTTTTTTAGCTACAGATATATTGGCAGCAAGCATAAACTCCTCAATCATCTGGTTTGCTTCTCGAATTTGATACATACCTGCACATCAATGTGTAATAATCATACTAAAGATATAATAACGAACAAATATCAAATAAACCAATAGATAAAGTCCAATGAATGCAAAAGAAAACAGGAGAAGGTAAGGCGAATGGAAAGACACAGCACAGAGAAATAATCAATTTTTTTTTTGTGGAAACTGCTCAATCTCGGAATTTAACAAGTGTTCGAACTAGAGAACTTTTGTGCGGGTCTAGCCAATTCGCATTATACTATGAAAAAAAAGTTCATTTTGTAGCTGATTCTACAATATGTCAAAGCATGGATGAGAAATTTTCTTGATAAATTGCCCCCCACCCCCCAACTATATCATCTACTAGTCGTAAAGGAAGGAAATATGAAAAATCACTGAACCAAAGCATCTAACTGAAGAGGATGAAGCAGTTTTTCTAAGTGGATAGTTGACTATCAATTTTTGTGTCCCAAGGAAGAATATCTAGCTTGGAATTTTATCCTGCTTCTCAGTTAATGGCGACAAGAAAGATATAGATTTAACAAGTTTCTCTAACAGGAAATGAAAAGGAATAACATACCGATGTCAAGAGGATCGTGAGTTTCAGTATCAATTTGGAATTTAACTTCAGCAGAAGCAAGAGTTAAGGCTCCTCTTTCAATGCGTTTTTGCCTCATTATCTACAAAATTGCAAGGGTAACGATGTTTTGCTTTATTTAAAAATAAAAAATACAAAATAAAGTTATTGAGTAAAATTCTTCAAAGTCACCTTTGCTAACACATTCATATTCCGCAAATCTGTAGTTAATGGGTCCATCAAGCGACTGTAAAATAAATAGATTTAGGAAAAAGATGCAGCGATATGCTAACATAATATTGGGAATAGTTGAAGCCGCACACAGAAAAATGAAGAAAGGAAAGAGAAAAAAACAATGCCGCTATTTGGCATGCATCAACATAAATATAAACCTAGAAGAGGTTTCAAAACTGACGACAGACATAAAGCATGGTTTCCAAACTTTCTTTTGGAATAAGGAGAAAAAATATAGCATGGGCCACTTAACCAATGGATTTTAGAGTAAAGTCTGTGAACGGCCAAAAGTAATTGCAAGATTTTTCTCAGGAAATCAATCAACTAACTTGGGAACTCAAGTTGCAATAAGACGAAGGCATAGATGAAAAGGATCAATTAACATAAATCACCAAGGAGGAGAATTAGCACTTCTAAACTACAGCCTCCACCTAAAACACAGACAATAAGTACTAACAATCCATCCATCTGGTTTTTCAATCTATCGAAGTCTTCTACGATTTATGGATTGAAATTTCAGTAAGCCTATGCTATTTCTTTTAAGAACCATATAAAAATGTTCATAAAATTTCAAATGAATCTGCTTAAGGTATTGAGGAAGGAACAGGTGGGACCAATTACTCAATACAGCAGTCAGAGAACCCTTAACAAATAATCATAAATCCCAATGTGCTTTTAAGCTACTAAATAAACAAACATGATTGTAAACAATTCAATGCAAGAAAAGAGATGTTACAGAAAATCGAGGGGTTTAAATAGAACTTAAGTCAAGTGATATTTACTCAAAAGTTTGCCAGATGAAAATTATATCACAAGGAAAAACATTAAATATAAGTACCTATCATCCATCCTCGCCTGAGCTTCGACATAAGATAGCGCAGCACATGATTTGATAATGGCCTTCGTGTACCTTGTAGAAATAATCTCTGCTTCAGGAGTCATTTCCTATACAATCAGTCAATGTAGAAAGGTGAAAATGCGGGCTACCATGAAGAAAAAGTAAATGGCATGTAATGAGGGAGCGGGGGTGCGAAAACGGCAGAGGCAGAAACTGCAAAACTAGTTTTACAACAAATGAATAAGTACTTCTGGTATTCCAACAGATGAATATGTATTTTCTGCTAATTGAAGGCATAGAGTGAGACAACCCTAAAAGCATAATAATGTCAACTTTCGAAGACAAAATTAGTAATGGAAAATTAGGAGTTCCATTTTATTTGGACTTTTCATACTCAAATAACTCTGTTATGGAGCTTGACCAAAAAAACAAAGTCTGCAAGCGAGCTTAAAGACTATGTACCTTCAATAGGGTTAAGGCAAAGAAACACATTTTTCATCGCACAATTTTACTTTCCAAATTGTAGAACTAGCACACAATTAGTTCTACAAAGGATGCATAAGAAAGCTTCACTATGCAAGCATGTCAACATTTGGTATAAATGCAATTTATGAAACCGTTGACTGATTACACCCTCCTTCAAAAAGTAAAAACAATTGACATTTCAAGAATTCTACTGGTAAAGCATATCCCCGTATCTCAGTTAATGAGACGTTTTAAACTTCTCATAAGAGCAGGGATAGCTGGTTAGCCATTCAAAATACAATAATTACGGGACAAGTAAGTACCCATATAACAGAAAAGGTCAGTCTCTCTACATCTGAACGCAATGAACAAACATCTGCAAAGAATAGAAAAGATAATGTGTTACAACATGTTAACCTTTGGGACTGAATATTTGTAAAATGCATACACAAGAAACTACAAATAACACCAAGTACACAATATAACACCTTCTGTCAGAGGTTTTGGAAGCATGTCAATACGCCTCTCCACAAGGTAGACAGAGGTACCCCTTGTTGCAGCCTCGTCATCCAAGGGGGTTCCAGGGTGAACAAAATTTGTGACGTCGGCAATATCTAATACACATTTAAGTTGAACACTGAAATAAGATATCAGGATAACTTCTATTTGTGATGGGAACAAAATATCCTATTTAGGAAGCTTTGATCCTTAGCTCCCGGTAATCCAAAGAATATTGAGGGAACACAATTTCATATGCTAGTCTCCAATAAATCAGCTGCACAGGATCCACACTCTCTTCAAACCAAAGTGAGATGGTACAACCAACAAGATAGGTCATATTCCTAGGATTTATATTTATATATACTCAGTTGCTGTACAGCTGATTATCTATTAAACCTAAAGTTGTATGACATTGTCATCACTAAACAGAAAAAGAAAAAAATGTATCATGCCTTTATCAGTTGATAGAGTAGTTAAAGGCCAAAAGTTACATTTTCAGCACGTGAAACGAATTCCGATTTGATAAATTTGGTAAGAATGATAGAGAGAGGAATACGCTAAATAATATTGTTCAAAAGTTATATTTGCATATTTTAAAGTTTAAACAGTCACCTCTAAACCCCAATTCCGGCAAAGAGTAGTTAAACATAGCAACTTCTCAAAATATAATTTTGACTTATAAATTTGCTAAACCAAAAATAGAGATAATCACCTGATTTAAGCTAAATAAGCCTATTTTAACAAATAAAGTAGTGTGAAGATAGCAGGAAATAAAAATTGAATTTCAATTTTTTTTGTAATTTCAGAAGAATAAACAATAGGAAAAGATAAAACAGTCCTTCCTGGTCAAGAAAAATCACAAGTTTTCACATGCACTATTGCAAATTTAGGACTTCAATAAAATTTGCCCGCACTACCTTCAAGAATCTTTACCACAGTCCTGTCTGATCACTATCAAAATTAATAGTGAAATTTAGTATTTAATAGGTCAAACATGATTACTTTAGATGCAATGGAGACTAAGGACAATTTATATTCCTTTTTACACCCTTACTCCAGGAGACATGGGTAAGACAAGACTAGAAAGAATAAACCACATGTGAATTCAGAATTTTAAGAGCATGAAAAATATTAGTGGTACAAGAGGTTTATCCATGTTATATAGAATCGACTGGTGGCATCTGGTGGCATAGCATTAAAACTGACGCTTGTGGAGAATATAACCATAACTATTCATAAATAGTAGAAAATGTTACTCACAACCAAGAGACAAAAGACATTGTGGTGTTCACAAGAAACTAATAGGTAAATGAAAGGATACGAACTCCCACTTCAAAATGTCCACTTGGAAGAAGCATACAATGCAATGCATCATCAATGTCCTTGCAACCTGCACCAACAAATTTAAAAAATTGATCCAAGATATGACACTGTAGAAAGAGGGCCATCCTTGCTTACGTGACTGTAGAACTTTCGAGGGGAAATGAAAGCAAACAGGAGAATGAGCCACAAGCACACTGATACAGTTTTACATACAAACCAAGTACCTGGAGGATCCACGCTGAAGACACGTAAATGACGCAAATCCTGCCTAATGGGATTTGATATATCTTCAGCAGATACAGACCAAGGCAACGGTGGCAAACATGCCAAAACTTGAGAGGAAAATGGTCTGGCATCAATATCATTCTCTATCAGCACCACCTGCAGTGCACACACGCAGTTTCACACATTACAGATGAATACTGCTACTTTTGTCCAGGTACGCATTTATTTTTGGCATTGAAGATTCAGGTTAGAGTATGTATATTCCCATAATAAGTAGAGACAGCGGACATGATTACACTAAAGCTATTTTGGAGAATGGAAACGAAGGGCTAGGATTTTTCATGGGGTAGGTATCTTTCCAATCTCAAAATCTCTTTCTTTCTTTTTTTCCTCAAAAAAACACTCGGTCGGTCTCTAATTTATTTTTTGCTTCACAAAGAAGAGAGAGAAAGAGGCCAATATACGCGATTATGGGGAGGGGGTAAAGGAAATATGAGGCTAAAAACCTTATAGGTATATAGTTTTTCCAAGAGGACCCATGACCATCTGGAACCCAACTGGTTATGAGGATAAACCACCACGTTAGTGATTTACTCACCCCATACCCACCCCAGGCCTGGCCTGGCCAGGTTGTTACTTCTCCATGTTCAGCCTGTACCTATTGCCATTAATAGTTTCACACACCCTCCCTTACTTCCCTTCCCCTTTATTGAACGAAATGACCTAACTGACTTTTAACTTCCATCTCTTAATTCTTTAATTTTGATTCAACTTGTGAAATTTGAAGGAAAAAAAGGGGCAATGGCTTTTTAATGCAGTTAGAGGCAGGCAAACAGAGAACAGGGGTTTCACATTAATAGGTCAACATCCTTTTGCAGAAGATCCATACTAAGATGTCACGCAAACGTCTAATGAAACCCATCCAAAATTATTTTTATATGTTCTAGTTGAAGGAGTCTATTATCTGTAACGGATGTTGAAAATTGTCTAAGATCACTTGGGTCAAAAGTGGAGAAAAACGAGTGCCTTATGAGTTGCAACATACCATTTTCAGATATGAAGCTTTAATTATGAATGTTCTATAAAGGAATTGGAGCAATCAGACCTTGATGATGGAAGTATGTTAACAGTGCAATAACTATTAAACCAATCGAGCTTCAAGATAGCAAATGTGACAGTTCAATAACACAAGTCAAGATAGATATGCCAAAGTAGGCAGAAACAGCATAGTTAGAAAAAGACATTAGTATCAATAACTCCATTCATGATTTTGTAAGCATGAGAGAAGTGATTAAAAAACAAAATTCTACGGCATACCTCACTTTCAGTATCTCTGTCGCCTATTTCTCCTATAGTTCTAACATAATGTCCAGAAGGATGTCGAGATAATCGATCCCATGAATCAACAGCAACGATGATTCTTTTGTCCAGTAGATTTCCAAGCTGCCGGGTTTGCATCCGAATCTTAGGAATCCTCCGATCTTTGGAGACAAACAGAGCATGTGCAATACCACCCTCGCCCGCAGGCATAGGCATCGGGTCCAAAGATCCACAATAACTGCATACAATATAAAGTTTGAAGATTTAACTAAAGGGAGAGCCAACAAGGCTATCAATGGAAATAAGTATCCATGTATTTCCTACAATTCCATCACTTCAGTTTTCCTAACTCAAAGGTAATGTTTTGGCTCAGTCTTAAACTGAATCACCTAATAGTTTTCTCGCAAGTCCAAAATGAAAGACAGGCAGTCTCTTTTCCCTCATTAACAACCTAGCAAGGTGTCTTCAAGATATTTGGGTGTGCTTTCATTGTGCATAAGAAGACAATCAAGAAAATATCGGCAACTTTTTCATGGATAATAGAAGCAATGCACATACAAACATTGGTCATGTATCAGGAACATAGGACAACAAGCTGGTGGCACAGACAATCAAAAGAGCAGTCGTAATAAGCATGTTCCTAAAAAACTTGGTGGTTTCGGCCAATGTTGTTATTGTGCAGGAAATAGTGGGTTGCTGGTTTTCCTACACAAAAATATTGTTAAAGAGACATGTAAGCTACATCAATTTGATTGATCTCCTTGGTCTGTTAATCGGACAAACACATAAAGCTGGCATGCGTAAGGGTTATCTTTCCATCTCCTCCCTATTCTATGGGAAACAACTTTAAATATTGACATACATCAGGTTTTTCGATCTGCTCTTCATATCTCATATACAACTCTTAATTATTATTTTAACTGACTTTCTATCTAAGTCTTTATAACAAGTTTTTACCTTACCATATAGAATACAGGAAAACTCCTAACATGTCATATGCATCCCATCTTATCCTTTTAAATAATATCATACCACAAAAGATGCCCCAGCATGAAACAATTTCACAAGCCCCAACATGTCTGAACATGTCTCAAACGTGTTTAACCAGATTCCTGTCTGTGGGAGGTCAGACACAAAAGTGGTCAAGTGGGGAAGTCTGAACCAACTGCATCACAAGTTCAATAAGATATTCACATTCTACGACATAGTACATCGAATGGTCTATTGATGAAAGCCATCAAGTTGGTGCTTCAAAAGACTGGAGAAAAACAGTAGTTACTTTGAGAAAAAAGTAAAGGGCTAATCCACTCATTTTACTTACGAGTGCCAGTTCCGTTTTATAATGCCGATAACACGACCAGATGGGCGAGTTGGCATAGCATTCTTGTCCCCAGCCGAACTTGGAACTCGAGGAGCATCATCAGCACTGCTTGGAGCTAAATGAACATCATCTTCCTCTTCATCCTCTGGATTCAATATCAGAGACGATTAAATAGGATATTTTGTAATGCAAAAGAAATGTCCAACAAGGGCTGTGTGTGTGTGTGTGTGTGAGAGAGAGAGAGAGACTAGTAAAATACAAATTTATTTCGCAATAATTATAAATACCAGAGAGAGAGAGAGAGAGAGAGAGACTAGTAAAATACAAATTTATTTCGCAGTAATTATAAATACCCTACAAAATACACAGCACAGGTATAAATGTTTGAGAGCACAAACCATCATTTGCTATGGCAAGCGATTTCTCTTCTTGCCAGCGATCTTGAGGCAAAAGTTCCACAGCCACTATATCACCATCAAAAGCCCTATTCATGTTTGTACGCCCATAAACAATAATTTCATCACCAATACTTTCACTCCCAACATATGCTTCAAACGGGTTGTAGCGATTAACCCGAAGCTTGCCTTGGTGGTAAATTCCACGATGCAAACCAGAAGTAATTTCTGACATGGGCTTATGCTGCATGAGAAACCAAGAACCAAAAAAAATTAATAGTAGGCACTAGTACATAGGAGAGAACACACCGATCATTAAATATCTATGAAGGAGTGTGCTATTAGCTTGATACCTCGGGATATATTGTTTTCCTCTTTGAGGGCCTTAGATCTTCTGCATCCTCCATAGTAACATCATCAGATGGAGGCTGAACAATCAGGTCAAGCAATGCTGGTTGTCCAAGCGATTTCACATACGACTCGACTGCAGAAGATTAGTCGCTATCATTCAGTAGATCTAGATAATATGCTAAAACAGACTTTATGGAGATCTAGTCAAAAAAACAAACTGCAAACGGAAGTAGCAACTGAGAATTTGAGATAGCACAAGGCAAGTGGCGTGCAATAAGAAACATAATTTTCTCAAGTTGAATTTAATTTTCAGACTATGCTGGAAAAAAGTGAGGATGGTGTAGGGACAATAAACAATTCAAAGAATAGGCACATACCTGTCTCTGCAAGAATCCCATCTGTAACGGCCTTCTTTTTGTTGTCTCGGTCATTTGTAATAAGTAAAACGCGGACTGCACTACCAAGGTGATTCTGATACCATTGTGCCGCCACCCGAATTGCTGAACCATTATTTTATAGTCAAATAGTCAACACCACTTTATAAGGACCGGACATTCTTTTTGTGTTTAACTGGGTATATCTTATCTACATCTAGCTCAGAACAATAGTAAATTTTGGTAACAATAGTTAAAAAATAAATTAGATTTTTCTCTTCCTCTATATCAAGCATGGAGTGCCTTCTTCAACAGAGAGTGATTCAAGAACTGATCTTTAGCAAACATCATGCTCTTTCTATGTGTCAACTCCTCATTCCACAAACCAAATTTTCTTTTGTCCCAAATAGAATAAAATTAGTTTTACTATACAGGATTACCTATTCTGCTGAAATTCACCAATTCCAGATAAATCAGTTGAGGATTATAGTCGCAACAGATGGGAACTGTGAGTTTTAAATCATATTCATGTGTGCATTACACTAAGATTTATGGTTGTGAGCGTTTTAGTTTAAATAGGCCTTTATTTTCAGTAAGTTAAATAACATGAATAGAATAGAATGTCAATACAAACATCCAAAACATCCCCAAAAAGGAAATCTCAAAATGGTCTCAAATAGAGCCGAGAATATTCTAAGTTTTCCAAACATATCATTTCACTTGCATAAGTTTTTCTAGTTTCTTGATTCGATATTTCCTAAAACTTTATTGCACCAAATAACCCGAAAATGTTATTTCTCTTCGCATATATTTTAAGCTATTTTCCTTCGAAACAATTGAGCCTTGAAGTATATGAGACCAACATACCTCTGTCATTCCTATCATTGGGACTTTCACCAGTCTCAATCTTCACATATGTATCCCTATATATAAGAGAATAGTATAAATAAGTATGTGTCCTTTCAGCTTATCTCACTGCTAAAAGAATAGTCCAAAGCTTAAGGACATTAATTCAAATAGTAATAATTCAACAAGCAGTAAATAATAAGCAGGTGCCATGACATAGAGAGAAGAAAAAAAAGGAGGTCAAGCTATTAAAAACATAGTTCGTCCATGCTCAACCCCCTCATAACCAAGGCATATATATAGGATTTTGCTTCCAATTGTCGTGGACAAAGGTGTTGACTTTAGTGATACACAACAAAAGGTACACTTTCATAACCTCTGGCTGCATATTTCAGAGTCTTCTACCTCTATGCTTACAAATGGTCTAAATTGCTACTAACCACGGTTTACTTAATGTAACAAAGAGAATAGATCACTTCCGCAAACACGCTTACTAATCAAACTACCAAGTATAAAAGCTACTTCAAGTCAGAAATGAGCTATCAAACTGAAAGAAAAAACAAATAGATATGCTGATGACAACACACGAGTACCGTTAACTGAGTGAAAAATGAAGAGAGGAACGTACTTGTGGTATTCATTAGAAAAGACAAAGAACCTCCTCTGGGAGTTGCTGCAAAGCGCCCTAAGTCTATTATATACACCGAGATTTTTGTTCTTTACCTCTTCCAGTACCACTGATAGCACCACAACATCATCTATGGCTGGATTTTCCAGCAAATCAATCTAAAAAAACGTTTAAGAAAAAAAAAAAAGGTCAAATGATTTCCAAAATAAGTGGCACTAAATTTCTAAAAACTGGTAAAAAAAAAAAAGAAAGAAAAGTTTCACCTGATGAAGAACAACATTGGTATCGACTACGAGAATAGTAGAGGCAGTTGAGCTGAGACGCGATGCGGCAACATCGCAGACCTTGCATAAAGGGGCACCGCAGTAAATATCATCTCTCAAATAGTGTTCTCTCACAACCTGCGAGCAGACGCCTGCCTGGTTAAACCCTAGTAACAAAACAAATACAAACACAAACACAAAGAAATACAATAGAGGAGAGAGAAAATCGAAAGCGAAGTAAGGTATAGAAGGACCTTGACAACTCTCCCTTGCTTCGTTTTCTTGACGAATGACTTGCTTTGCAGCATGCTTAAGAAAGAGGATTGATTATAGCTGGAGTTGTGGTGTGCGTGAAGGTTTTGGAGGCTGAAATCGGCGGTGGGGGATTTCTCACAAATTAATTGTAAATGATTTATCAACTAATTTATGTTTTTCAATAATTTAATTTTGGGTGATTGGATTGGATTGGAGAGATGGGAAGGCGGGAGTTGGGTTTGGGGTAGGGCGGCTGGGGAACGGACTTTTTGAGTTTTGAGCCCTGACTGAGGTGGGAGAGAACTAAATAATTATTATTATATCTTAACTAAAAAATGTTGAATTTATTTTAAAACATGATATAAAATGAATATCAAAATTTGCAAATATACTAAAGTTGTAAATTTTTAAACCAGCGCAATCGGAGTTCGTATGAGAAATATTATGAGCGAAATAAATCACAAAATTTGAATTATAGTTATTATTAATTTGCATCTCACGGATTGCAAAATATGAATGTTGTACATCCATTTATAAGTTTACAGCAAGATTTGAATCGGCTAAATTACATTAGAAATGTGAACATTAAAAATAGGTTTAAATTGTCACGGGATAGGGGGGCCTTGACAATTCACGTGCTCGGAAATCTTCTCTGACATGTGGTGTTCTTATCCGAAACGAAAGCAACCTAACAAAGAATCGAATTTTTAAAGAGAAAGTAAAATTACAATGTGTTATTGATTGATAAGGCTAAAAATCGGGAGAATTAACAATATTTTGGCAAAAGAAAGTTATGATTGATCTTTAGAGAGGATTATAACACAGTGCAAGTCCATTTTTCGATTCATAATTTGAGTTGGAGATGCACGATATTTTATGACATTCCTAATTATATTAACATGCAAATTTTGTGGGAGTTAATTCAATCGTTGTATTCACAAAGCAACAACACGTAGACCATTGGAGAGGATTATAATAAAGTGCTATGTAACTCAAAAAATGAACAGGGGATTTCGTATGCCCCAGTGGATTTGTAAATTAGAGATACTGAGTATGGTCTTTTTTATCTCAACTATAATAGCTAGCCCTTTGCATGGTCCAGTAAAAGAGAAACACCCATCACTATTAGGTAAATATGACCATTTTATTTTGAGACCATGTGAGTTTGTCAAGAGAAATGTGAAATGTTATCCATCAGCCATATGAACCGAACAATGGAGGAGGACCCATGGAAAAATTTAATATGGTGTAGCTCATGCTGTAGAATGCCCTTAATGTCGTGGAGCAATCACACAGTCAAACGGTAACAACCACAAATTGAGAAGTACCAAAAATAACTTTATGCCCTCAACATCGGTGACCAGTCACCTGCATTTGCATTCAGGGAATAAGCTAGGAATTTTCATGCAAATTGGAGAAAATGTATGATGACGATGATATTTAGTGGTGTCACCGCAACAAAGACAAAGATTGGAGTACAAGCTTTTTTCACGCCAAAGCTATGTGTGGGGTTTGGAAGGAGAAAGAAGAGGATACTGAGCATATTATTGCATAACACCTTGATCAGATTATTTCCTCAACTAATCCGGAAGTTAATGAGATAGATGAGACTTTGGAAGCAACCGAGAGTGACTAGCGCGGTTATTCCGATGATGTCCCTTCCTTTCATGGCGAATGAGGTAATCAAAACTTGTTGTTCTATGAAGCAATGGCGGGGGATACAAGTACTATCAAAGGAATTCTTGGAAATTTTGAAAGGACTCCTGGTCCAACGATTAATTATAAGAAGCCGATAATATGTTTTAGCCCAACCACCCATCGTGATATGAAGGATTCTTTTTGAGAAATTCTATAATTTCAAGTTGTGGACCGGCATGACAAGTACCTTGGAATTTCTGCCTCGATGGGGCAATCTAAATGTGTATATCTAACCTTCTTTGTGATCAACTTTGGAAAAAATCAAAGGATAGAGAGAGAAGCAGTTGTCTCGATCCCGCAGGGGAAAGGTCTTGATTAAATCGGTGCTTCAAGCAATTCCGTCCTATTTGATGGTTTTTTTTTTTTGTTGCCGATTGGTTAATTACTTGGATTTGGCATTATTCTATCAACAATTTGTTTTGAGAGGACGTGCTATCATAACATATAATCGGGAGTGAGTGGTTTGAGTGGGGGAAAGAGTAATGGTGCTGGGCCCGGAAGTGGATTGGTTGACCGAGATTGGGATTGGATTTAAAGTTACCTATTCGATGGAATGTTAATTTTTTCCTTTAGTGGACATGCTTGGATACTTTGCTAACCCAAGCGGAACTATTTTGGCATACAATTTATTTGTATGTAAGTTGTAATCGTTGGAGAGATGAGCAAGAAAACTTTCTCAGTGTAATATTGGGCTGCAAATGTATGCCAACTTTCTAGAAACACCACCCCTACGGTTTCGATAGTGAGCTGCCGTTTATATCGGTTTGGAACTGGTTCAATAAAATGCACCGTAGATGGAGTGAGGAAATCTTTCATCTTGTTATTGTTGTAGTATGAAAATTATAGGAAAGCCGAAACAAAGAATTACATGGAGAGCAAGGTCTGATGTTGGTTGATAGATGCAATAGGTGCATCACCTATCTGGAATTTTATATTACCGCCCTATTTAGTCTAAAAGAATCGAATAAAGCAAACCATCCTAGCACACGGAGTTATCCACCGGATGACACGGTCGAAATTAATTTTGATGCAACCCTTCCGATATATTCTAACTACTAGTCAATTGAGATGGTAACACGTGATTTAAGAAAAGTATGTTTGTGGAGTGTATGCAAACTTTCGGAAAGACCTACGACAATAGAAGGCGAAGCACATGCTGCTGCCCAAGCTTTGAATATAGCACGAATGAAAGGTTGGCCTTCTATCATTCTTGAACGGGATGGCTTACAAGTGATTGAAGCCCTCACCCGAGGAGATACTCATCTACAATTGGAGTTTATGTGGAAGACTGCATTATTATGTCTAAGTTAGTTACAACTTGTTCCCTTTCTTTTGTTGAACGGGCTCAAAATGCTTTATCACATTTGGTAGCTTTGAAACTTGGAAATTCTTATAGTGAAGATGCTCACCTTCCATTGATTTTGCCAATTGTTACTTAATAAAGAGACGTCTTTAAAATAAATAAAAAATGAAAGAAATCATATGAATCGACTGGAATAAGTATTTTAAGATTTTTTTTAATATTATTATATATTTTTTTTCAATTAATGATTTAAAATTTCAATACTTGGAATTTTATAAATTAAAATAAAATTAATCTAAAAAAATATATACTATAAGTAATATAGTTTAAAAAAAACTCTATTATGATTAATAATTAGATATCTAATAATTTTATTACGTAAAATAACTTCCAAAAAAATGTTTTAAATTATTTTATAATATTAAAGTCTAATAAAATAGTTAGAATTCATACATCATTCATTTTTTGATCGAGAAATTTTCCAAACAATAACAGATAATAATTGGGTGAAGCTATTTAGAGCATTTCCAATCGGTTTCACCATTTTTTCACAAAATCCCATTTTTTTGTGGTGAAAAAATGGGTTCATCTCCTATCGGTAGTACACCATTTTAACCTTCCACCATTTTTGGTGGAAAAATTGTGTTTTGATCTTCAATGGATTTCACCAAAATTTAGACTAAATATTGAAGTAATAATATTTCACCATTTCACTAATTATAGAAAACGGAATTTGGTTTGGTCTCCCATGACATTTCACCATATATACCCCAAAACTGTAAATCTAATGTTTATCGCAATCTTAGTGTATTTTATTTCCTAAATATTAATTATAGATCCAATTTTAAATAATAAATTTTTTTAACTATATAAATTAAAAATTAAGTTATCAATTTTAAAAAAACTATCTAAACATGAAATAACACGAACTCAAATTATTTTACATATAATAAAATCATACATAAACAATAATCTCATAAATTGTTGCATAAGTAAAAATATTACAACAAAAATTAATTTAAAATCATAAAAAAAAATATCTCATTCACAATTATTATCATCATCATCCTCTATATGCTAATTAAGTAGGTAATCAAGTGCAATTGGTTAAAGTCATCATCTATATGCTAATTAATAAAATTGTGTTAATTACACCAAATCCTATTTTCACCTCTATATTTGGTGGAAAAATAGGATTGGGTCTATGATCATATCGGGGTTGACCACGTTGGGAAGTTAAAACCAAATCTCCATCATTTTAGGTGTAATGGTGATATAGAAATTTTGGATCGGAGGCTAAAAACACCTAGTTTAGATGAAAAAATTGCGAAATAATAACCGATCAGAGATGCTCCACTAGATTTCTCATCACACCCCAGCGAATATTTGTTTTCAATTCTACCCCTTGCATATTTTATATATACTTTGACCCATTAAAAATATTTAATCACTTGCCACCTAATAAAACAAACACCCACCATTCACAAAGAAGAGGGGAAAAACAGAACCAAAAGCAATATTAAGATGGAAGGGAAAACTCACTTGCAACATAAATCAATGCCCTCCCGCCGCAGTAGCCGCCATCCTAAGCCTATTACCTAATCGTTGATTTTTTTGCATTTTTTAAATCAAAATTGTTCTTTTTCAAAACGAAAATATGCGCCATGCTTGAATTGAAGGTGTGTATGTGTATAATTTGAATTAGTGTTTGAAAATTGAATCTGAAACATATAAATTGGTATATTTCGAAGAAGAAGACAACCAATTCAAGAAAAAAAAAATTGAATTATATATCTTTGTACCGAGTTCGACAAACATTCTCAATACCGAAAATGAGAACAAAATTCAGTACCGAAAATTGAAAAAAACATCTATACCAAAATCTCTTTAAAAGAAATTAGAAGGGCAAATTAGTGGAGTGTGGTGAAATTTTTTATAGAGTCCAAATAGGCACACCCATAAGAATTTTAGCGTTATTTCTATGCTACACCCGGTGAAAACTACACCAGGTGGTTTTTTACCATTAATCTACACACACTAATGTGGGTGTGTGTATAGACCGAATTCTAGTAGTCGGAATGTAAAAATATTCCAAAGTTAAAAAAAAATATCAATCGAGCTCAACGGAATTGAAAATTTGTCCCGATTTTCTTCGATCAGGAAAATGTTGCATTTGCGCATGTACAGAGTTACTTTTCAAGCGGCAATTTAGGCAAATTATATATTGTTTGTTAAGGAATGTGCACCAAAATATTGATGGAAGGATGATTTAGTAAGAATTGAAACATGAGGGGTCTAATTTAAATTTGTGACGAACACTTGGGGATGCAAATGAAATTTGAGCCTGCAAAGTTTGACTAGCAAGACTGAGACAAGAAAAAACAATTGGGCGACCGAGAAAAACCCCGGCCATGGCGCAAGACAGCCATATTCCCTTCTTCCCTCAAGCTTAGAATCTCCGTTTCTTTTCTTCAATTCGTTAGATTAATTTATATCCGACTTGCCTCATAATCAATTTTATTTTATTTATTTATGTTGAATTAAGGACTAATCGCCGCCGCATTTATTCTTCCGATCATAATAGATGTACGGCCGATTGTTTCTGCTCTTTCTATTCGCAATCTTTCTGTTCGGCGCATTTTCCATCTCTGCCAACGATTTTCTTAATTCACATGGTGGTGTCAAACGCCACGGCGGCGTTTTTGGGGCTCCCGGTCGGACTTTGTTGTCAGATACTAAGGAGTAAGTTTCTTTCTTTTTGCGTTATTGATTTTGCATTGTTGGATTAGTTTCTTTTAACCGATTTCATCCTTAGTTTTCTATTTGTTATTATAATTTAAGGGTTTATTTGATAGATTATGAGATATAGCAGTTTGTCAGGTTAAATTTAGAGACAAGTTGAATTCGTAATTTTTCTGTTTGCAAATTTGGGGGAATCTTTTTCTTCTTCTAATGCATTCTTATACACATGAAATATCAATAAATTATTCTTATCTTGAGCTTTAGTATTTCTTGTTTCAATTCTTTCACCAGCTGTTTCCATGGTTCAAAAAACAAATTACTGCCGACTCCCACAGATTGACGGATTCATTTGTCGAAAGAACTGAAATTGCTGATTTCTTCTTCTTTTTGGTTTCAAAATCACAGAATTGTTATAGTTGCTGTAACTGAATGCTCTGCAAAATCGGGATATCTTTTTCCTGTATATTCATCTGAGCCGATTTTATTTTATTTTCGTGTGAAATCAGGGGACCTGATACTGCATTAGTGGCTGCTTTGGATGGTACTGTTTATCTATTGGAAGTTGGTTCGATGAAACCACTCTGGTCATTTTCATCAGGACCACAAATTTATTCATCATATCAGGCTCCTGTTAATGATAAAGAGAATGCATCGGGATTAGAGGGCACTTACTTCATTGATTGCGGTGATGATTGGGAACTTTATGCACACAACAGCCTTGGCAAACTGGTATGTATTTCATTATCACATCCTCAAACTATATTGGTTTAAACTTTTTTTTTTCCGTCGTTCGATAAGGAATAACCAGTTGAGCTGGTTTGGAATGGAACTTCTCTTCGAACTCTATGTAATTGTCTTATATGAATCTTATACGTGCCTCCCCTTTTTAGATAAGCATGCAACCCTGAAGTGTAAAGGTCCAAGTGAATTCAGTAAATACTATTGGCCGGAATTTTTCTCAAATATGACGAACATTTTATTTGATAATGTTGTCCTTATTTTTATTTTTTTATGAATTGCTATCAATGTGTATCCCTGAAGCCTACGTTGTAGATGCGGGAAACACAGTATGTGCACTCAAGTTTGAGTTATGATGAACACAGTATGGCAAACATGTTATTTGATAATGTTGTCATTCTCTTTATATTTGTGTCTACACTACTATCTCTGTTTATCACTAAGCCCTGTGTTGACTCCCCAACAATCCAAGTAACAATTAGTTAATGAAGATGTCAACGCACACACACACACACACACACACACACACGCATATATATATGACATGGGTGCCATGACAAAGTTTTTCGGGTTGCGTGGTCTAGTAGGATATTCCAAATCGTTCTCTCTAGTAGTATATTGACTTGATATTTGTACCCTAAGAACTTATTTGATGGTTGGAACATGAACGAAATGTGTCTTAGCTGTTTGTTTTCATTCGACAATACATGAAACTAAGGATCATCCCAATATAAGTGCAAAGGATGGAGTTTGTAATATCCGGAAGGAGAATGATTGACCTTTGCTTGTATGGAGATATATCTTTCTTCATCAATGGGGACTTACATTCAAGAATGATCAAATATTTCATGTATAATGGTGGAGATTGTTCTCCAAAATTTGGCTTCCGTAGGATATAAATACTGCATAGTCTTATATTTTTTCATGCTAATCTAAGAACTTATACCATCAGGGAAATATTTGAGAAACCAATTTTCTAATCGGCTATGAGAAAAGTAATATTTGGAACTTCAAAAAAAATGATTCCCAACATTCTTACATTTTACTGACAATTTGTTACAGACCTGTATCTTATTAACAGCCTTCGTACTAATATTGCCATTTGTTTTTGTTCATCTTGTAGAAACTTATGAAGAGTCTTGAAGAGTATATCAGTTCAACACCTCAAATTGCAGAGGATGGGGGAATTGTACTTGGTTCAAAAAAAACAACTGCTTTTTTAGTTGATGCGAAGACTGGAAAGGTCATCAATATATACAGGATGCCCGATTCTATGCAGAACACTGTTAATGATCTTCCTTACAATACCACTGTTAAGGAATCTGGTTCTGACCAGGGCAAAGACGAGCTACCACTTTACATCACAAGGACAGATTACAGATTGACGTCATTTACACCTAATTCAGACAAAGTCTTGTGGAATATGTCAGTCTCTGAAATTGGAGCTGCTTTTCTTTGTAGAGATGTTGAGAAGTCATTTGGGAGTTCTCTACCGGATTTGGAGTCTTCTGAACCTGGTCTTCCTTATAACATGCCACTACCATGTCAGTCAAGGGCACATGTCTATCGTTTTCGCAATCACAATATGTTGGATGCTTTGACTTTACCACATGGACAGTCAAAGGATCTTCATCAAGATATGCTCCTTCCAGCATCTGCAGGCAATGTTCTCCCATCACAGCCAAATGTTGACAAAGTTCTCGAATTACTTCCTTTGCCGAGCGGTAGTGGTAACTTCCAAGAGGCACATGACGGCAAGGACATTGACTCTGTTCTTCCTTCGCATAAATTCGATGAAAATAGTGGTGGTATTATGATATTTCTTCAGACGTTCGGCACATTTCCTCTCATTCTTGTTTTGCTAGTGGTTGTTGCATATCTAGTCTATAAAGTCAAGTTTACTGTGCAGCCTATTGGCATGAGTTCTACGAATATACAATCAAAAAAGAAGAAATCTCGTAAAAATGGAAAGGGGGGAAGTAACGTTGGGAAACAAGATAAAGAAGAAAATGAGGTTCAACAACAAGCTAATAACGAGAATGGTGGCAACTTTTGGCTGAACTTGAAAGAACCAATTTCTTGCAGTATTGATGGACGCAAAATTGGTAAGTTAGTTGTTTCTAACAATGAGATCGCAAAAGGTAGTAACGGTACAATGGTTCTTGAAGGGGTTTATGAAGGTCGTCCGGTTGCTGTGAAGCGCCTTGTTAGAGCCTATAATGATGTTGCCTTTAAAGAAATCCAAAATCTTATTGTGTCTGATCGCCATCCAAATATTGTAAGATGGTTTGGAGTAGAGCAAGACCAAGATTTTGTTTATCTTGCATTGGAGCGCTGTTCTTGCAGCTTAAATGATCTAATCCATATGCAATTAAAGTCCTCTTCGAACCCCACTCTTGGCAAGAACTTGGATGCAGAGTTTGCACCACAGTGTACAATCAGTTTGGATTCTATAAAGGATTTTGAGTTGTGGAACTTAGATGGCTATCCTTCACCTTTGTTGCTGAAACTGATGAGGTGATACGACTATGAAAAATATTTTAATTGAGAAAATGAAATTTAATTCGAGTAATAAAAAATACTTTGATTGGAAGCTAATTGTTATATTCTCTTGCTTTCATTTTCTTTTTTGCTATGTTTGTGTGGAGCACAGGGATGTAATATCTGGAATTGCACATCTACATGAATTAGGAATTGTTCATCGGGATCTGAAGCCTCAGAATGTGTTGATAGTAAGCGAAAGATCTCTTTTTGCAAAGCTCTCTGACATGGGCATTAGCAAACGGCTTGTTGGAGATATGTCTTCATTGAGTAATCATGCTACAGGTAACAATTGTCATTGAATAAAAATGCGTATTAGATCTTTCTTGTTGGACCTTCCAGTTGCGTGTCTCCATGCATCGTAGTTCGATGTCCTCTAATACAGTAAATTAGTGCCTGTCCTATCAAAAGGTATAATAAATCGACGCAGAGAAAACTAAGATACATATGTTTTACATACACATACATGCATATAGTATATAAATTTAATATGTATATATATATATATATATATATATATATATATATATATATGCATATATGTGTGTGTGTGTGTGTGTGTGTATCTTTATATATATATGTATGTATATATATAAATATGTGTCTCTGTGTGTGTCTTCTGCATTATATATATGTAGGTCACCGGAGGCCGAAAGATGTAAAGACGTATGTCAAATTCGACTATATATATATATATATACATATCAATTGGCTTTGTCGAAAACTATTTTATTATTGTGGGAAAGTCATTTTCTTGATTTAACTGGATCGAATATTTTCAGGCTGTGGAAGTTCTGGATGGCAAGCACCTGAACAACTTCTTCTTGGGCGTCAAACACGGGCAGTCGATTTATTTAGTCTTGGCTGTGTTTTGTTTTTCTGCATGACTGGTGGTAGACATCCCTTCGGAAACCGTCTCGAACGTGACATTAATATTGTAAAAAACAAACTTGACCTTTTCCTGGTGGAACATATTCCAGAAGCAGTGGACCTATTATTGCATTTGTTAGATCCTGATCCTGAAAGGAGGTATGAATATTATTCGACCAACTTTAGTACCTCTTAGTTATGGTAACCGGTTTTCTGTATTTGTTACAGAACAAAAAAAAATAATCCCACCTTTCTGAAATCATTATAATCTCTTGACTCAACTTAAATTTTATTAGGCCAAAGGCAGTGGACGTGCTTTACCATCCTTTGTTCTGGAGTCCCGAGATGCGGCTTTCGTTTCTCCGTGACACAAGTGACAGGGTGGAATTGGAAGACAGGGAGACGAGTTCTGATCTCTTGAAATCATTAGAAAGTGTAGCGAATATTGCTTTGGGTGCAAAGTGGAATGAAAAGATGGAACCTACATTTCTTAATAACATTGGGCATTATAGACGTTATAAGTTTGACAGTGTTCGTGACTTACTAAGAGTCGTACGCAACAAGTTGAATCATTACAGGGAGCTTCCTACAGAAATTCAGGTACTGCTATGTGTTCTGCCCATTTTGTATTTCATTGTTAGTTCAAGTAATTTGACATTATTAAGGCTCCCTCTGAAATACTATCGGCCAACTTCGGCAAAATCCCATCTTGGCATAACTCTTTAATTCACGGGGCTTTCATTTCATAAAAGAAACTTTTATTTTTTTGTTTTAACTAAACACTTGAACGTTCACTTTGTGTAATTAATTAGTTGCGAGCATCTTTATCCTTGGAGAATATGAATATACGGTCTGTGCTATTTATGGGAAGAAGTCTTACAGTGTTGTTTTAACATCAGGAAATAATCGGACCGGTACCAGAAGGATTCGATAGGTATTTTAGGAGTCGTTTCCCAAAACTATTGATTGAAGTGTACAAAGTTATGATCAAATACTGCTCTGCTGAAGATAGCTTTTCCAAGTACTTCGGCGGCAGTGAACCGTAGCTTGGCTGCTTTGAGGCTTATGGTTTGGGATGTGTTGTATGTTGTAGAATATATGTTGTATATTTATTACATTTATTATGCACTAAGTTAATAGAAAGTGCTGTCATGACTCATGAAAGAGTATCAATAGGTTGGTGTTAACTGAGAACTTTTTAGTTCATATAATTAACTTATTTAACTTGGGATTATTATCTGAAGTCCCATAGGTTCTGATAATTTGTTTAATATATAACTTGTTTCTTGATTAACAAATTATTGTACCATAAGTGTGGTATACACTACATACCATGTATTTATTATACATGGTACTCTAACCCTTCTCCTGTACTAAGTTAAAGTTATCATATTTCTTTTATCACTTTTCCAGCAAGTGAATTCGTAATATAAAAACTTATATTTTTTGAGTCTAGGGGTGGAAATTGGAACAAAATTTATGGGGATGTTTGTTTCTATTTCCAAAATGGATTTCCAGTTTTATACTATTCATAAAACCGAGATTATGTTTGTTTGACAATTTTATCCAGAAAATCCCATTTTTCATTCTCAAATTTCTATTGGAAATTCACTATTCATACTTTTTTCAATTTTCAAT